GGAACCCTGAGGGCTCCTGAGGAAGGTGGGACGCGTGTGGGCACTGACACAGGTTATGTGGCCGGGGGTGGCCACTTGGGATGCTGGGAGGTCAGAGACTGGTCTTAGGGTGCAAGCAGCCAGAGAGGAACATGGCCTTGAAGACGGATGTGGGACTTGGCATAGCAAGAAGCCCAGAGAAATCCAAACACAGCATGGGAGTCTGCTGCGTATACACGAAAGGAGCAAAGCATCGGATTTTTCTGCAATTAGGGCAACGACCAATGATAGTTAGATCCTGAGAACACTGCAGAGGTATGACAGACATTTTGTGCTGCCCGGCTGGGAATGGAAACCAAGAAGATGTGTGGATTTGGACAGGGGAATGGAAAAATAAACGGCCAGAATCAGACTCAGATTCTAGGAACCAAAGCTAGAGAAATACCAACACACAGAGGGGAGCAAATGGCGGTTAAATAAGTCCTCACCCACTTAGGTTCATGGTCAAGGCTAACAAACCCCACTGGAAGGTGAACCTCGACGTTGCAGTGGACGGATGGCCTGGGCTGTGTGGCTGACGCCCCTTCCTCCACGACATACTCATTCGCCCCCCAGGCCTGCTCCTGTGGGTTCATTCCTGCCTGTCACTGAAAATGCCAAATTTCAGCAAGCTCATTCAGGCAGCCTCCACCTTATTAATGGGTTTAAAACATTTTTTTCCCCCTTTATTGATTTTAGAGAGAGAAAGGGAGAGGGAGAGAGAGAGATAGAAACACCGATGAGAGAGAACATCAACTGGCCACCTCGTACATGTCTTCCAAGGGGGATCGGGCCCACTACCTGGGCATGTGTCCTGGCCGGGAATCGAACTGGCGACCTCCTGGTGCGTGGGTCGGCGCTCAACCACTGAGCCACACCGGCCGGACCCTTCTTAATGGATTTTTTAAAGGCTGTGCTCCACTGAACTGATGGAGTAAGTCAGTTCTCCACTGTGGTGGATGCTGTTGGTGTCCTGCCCCTGCCCCCCTTCCCAGGCCAGTGTACCCATCCCCCAGCTTCTGTGAATGTTACTAGCTAATGGTTCCCAGCTACCCCCTTCTCTAGAAAACTGCGCATGGTGGAACGGGAGCCCCACTCGGGAGGTTACATGCCATCTGACCTCCCTGCAGCCTGCAGCCAACCAGCCGGACACGGAAGAACTCAAGGCTGGTCCCCTTGCTTCCAAGCAGGACCAACTCTGGCGCCATCCATGCTCTGCAGCTCCCTGTGGGATCAGGCAAAGCCAGAATCCAGCTGAGGTCACATCCTTCACTCCTCTTCACTTCCTGCTTCCCTAACCCCCTTCTCCCTCAACAGACCTTGTACGTCTGAGTAGAGAATCTGACCTAAGTCAGCCAGCCAGTATTCAAATGCCCCGACAATGACAAATGTGAATGAAATAGGCTTCGTGATAGCCCCGAGCCCCTGAGTCCCTAGAATCTCTGAGGCCACAGTTTTCTGAGCACCAAATTACCTCCAAAATACCTGAGGCTTGAGGTTCTCTGGGCCTGAAGAGGTCGTGAAAGGAGTAAGGGGAAGGGACCCTACTGTCACCTCAACAGAGGAGCTCCCGGGGCAGTGTACATGGGCAGGTTCCCAGAGGGCTCGGTGTGGGCTCTAGCAGCTCACAAGGAAATGTAAGGAAAGTTCTGGGCGGGAGAGGGAAGTTCTTGACAGGCACACAATGTGCAGGGTGGGTCGGTGGCTGGGCCCAGTACAGAGGAGACAAATGCTCCCTGGAGAAGGGAGGCAGCGGGGCCACAGGTGCAGAATGCTTGGGAACCACACATTCGGAAGTTACCAGCCACTTGCCCAGGGGGTCCCACCAAGTCCCAAAGTCTCACGGGCCATGCCTTTCTGGAAGGACCCGCTGTGGTCCCCAGAATCCGGGACACCTGCTGGCAAAGACTAATTTCTCACTCATGTCTGATGGTTGGAGCCACAGCCTGCCTTGAATTATGTGTCGTATTAGGAGCTAGAGTCAACAACGCTAGGAAGTGAGGAACCAGTGTGATGCCCCAAGCCCCCGAGTGAGAGGGCGGAATCCCCTCCTCGGTCAGCATGAGAAAAGGGAGAGAAGGAACACTGGCTGAGCCCAGACCAGTTCCTGGTCCTGTCCCAGCGAGGCACTTGCAGGAACCCACGGGGCAGCTCTACGTGATGAATAGTAGCCATTATTTCATAGGAGCAAATTAAGGCTCTGGGAAGTCAAGAAGTCTTCAGTGTCCCCTTCTAAGCCTCTCCATAAGCTTACGTCTCTCTCACCTTATAAAGTGAGCCAGTGATCAAAACAAAACACACTCTCCCCACCTCTTTGACCCTCTGGCCTTCTTCCAGGTGTACCCTTGTCTCTCCTCTAGTGCCCTTCACGGACAGCAGACATTCCGGAATGGGCTGTCTGCCCTCGTCCCTCTTCCCCTCTGCCTCGTTCCTGCGCTCACTGCGGTGTGGCCAGGTGCACCCCGCTCGCCGTGCACGCGCTGAACCTTCTTACACTGTGAAGCCAACGCACACGTTCTGGCTTTCAGGGACTCGACCCTGCAATCTCTCAGCTCCCAGAGCACGTCTTCCGTCTGGAAACACACGTCTGGAAACTCGTTTCCCAGCTTCCCTTCTCCCTCACCGGCTGCTGCTTTTCTGCCTCCTCTGCGGCGCCCTGTTTACTAGTATGTCCTTCAGGGTTGGGGCCGTTTCGATCAACTCTGTGTACACAGCACCTAGGGCCCTGCCGGGTGAAGGGTGTAGACTGAGTGGATGAAGGAACGGGACTGGCCAAACCCGTTCCTTCAAACCCAGGAGAGTCCAACTCCAAAGCCCTTGTTTGACCCACTCTCCCAAGACGACTCTTCTCCCATTTCAAACAGTTCCCTAATCGAAAAAGATGTTCACTAGAAAAATAAATGCAAAATGGAGTGAAATACCTGGTGATGATATTCTTGAAACACCACACACATGCACACACACTTCTTATACTGACACAAAGACTTGAAATACTAAACCTACAGAGTACTGAAAACTGTAATAGTCTGTGTCCTCGGCCAAGCGCAGAAACCAACATTCCTGCCCAGCAGCTGAAAGCGCTAACAACTCTGCTTTGCAATGAGAAAATAAACACCGTTTCAGACACACAAAACCTGCATTTAGTTCTCGCCCTACTGGGGCCAGTAAACAACCCGCTTGGCTGGTGGGTGTGGCTCAGGGGCCGGTGTGGCTTCGGTGCCTGACCAGGAGCAAAGCCAGCTCCTTAGCCATTCCAGGGCGAGTATGGGCTGCTCTGAGGTGACAGGCAGCAAACAGGAACTGGGGCCTGCTGCCCGATTCTCTGAGACAGGTGAGCGACCAGAACCAGCAAGGAGCCCCGCCTGCCACCAAGCAGCAGCCACAGGCCGAGGTGAGGAATGTGCTGGAAGATCACTCGAATTCTGCATCTAGACCGTGTCCCACCCAGCCTGTATCCGTTTGTCACTCGTATGCAACAGGGCAAGGAGGGGCACTGACAGGAAGTTTCTAGAAGCTTTTTTAACAACATGACAGGCAAATTTTATGTCTGTTTAGTTTAACAAAAAATTGTGCATGTATTTGGAATTTCTTGGTTTAATCTTATTTTCTACTAATTCATTTTTTAAAATTTTTTATGCTTCTTATATTGATTTTTATTTTATTTATTTATTTATTTCAATTTTTTATTAATTTATTTTTGTTATAGATGTTTCTCCCCACCCAGGCTCCCTCCTCTCCATCCGGCCCCCACAACTAATTCATTTTTTTTTTTTTTTATCCTCACCCGAGGATATTTTTCCATTTTTTGTTCAGACAGAGCGGGAGGGAGAGAGAGGAAGAGAGAGAGAGAGAGAAACATCGATGTGAAGGGACACATCGAGTGGCTGCCACCCGCACGACCAACCAGGGCCGGGGACAAACTGCAACCGAGGTACGTGCCCTTAGCGGGAACCGAACCCGGGTCTCTCTGTACCGCAGGCCGACGCTCCAACCACTGAGCCAAACTGGCCAGGGCCACAACTAATTCATTTTTATTGCACTTTACTAGAGCATCTGTTTGCCAATGACTAAAAAGAAAAAGTTTAATGGCCCACGGAAAATATGAGAAGTAGTACAGGAGACAATAATAAAAAACTATCCGTGAAAAGACGCTCCAAGAGGAAAAAGCCACCGAACGGGAGAGAACCCCGGCAACACATTACGTAGGAACGTTTTGTGTGGAGAAGAAACCCTACATTGTGCAAACAGTCCATTTAGGTCCATCTGATCAGGTTCTGGAAGCTCAATGCCCATCCGCAGCCTTTGTCGTCTCAACTAAATATTCGAGTCACCGCTGCATGGCCTCAAGGCTGAAGGGCAGGGGCGGGCCATTCTTGTCCGTGGGGCAGTGGCACAGCTGTCCACACAGCTGTCCCGGGGGTGTTCTCCCTGCTTCACCGCCACCCCTGGGCCCCGGGACTGCTCAAGCGGAAGGGAACCTGCACTGGTGGCTGTGGACCCCGCCTGGTTTACAAACCCCACGCCCCACAGAGCCAACAGGTCTTGTCGGGGACCCCACGAGGGACATGCCCACACTCAGGGGAGCCCACAGCTGGGGTTCCGCTCCTGTGTCCATGACAGTTCCTGTGTCCCAGCCCCGTTCCCCAGTCGGGGGTCATTCTATCATAAGATTGTTGCTGGGAACCACAGCTGGCGACCCACGTTGGTCTGGTTTCCAGGGAAACAAGCCAGAAAGTCAATCCAAGGTCAACTCTGTCCCCGTGGAAGAAGAGAGGGCTCCGTCTCCCCTGTGCCCCGGCACAGAGGATGAGGAGCTCAGGCGGGGCACACGCTTTGGAAGTGCTGCGGGAACACCCAGGAGGCCGTGTTGCCAGGCCCACGACTCAGAGCAAGGTGTGAAAGCCAAAGGGGCCTGTGTGGAGCCCAGCCCGCCCCGAGGCCCTGCTGGCCCTGCGGGGGGAGGGCAGGCGGAGGGCACTTACCTTTCCCGCAGGCCTGCACCAGGCCGTACCACTCCCCGCAGCTGTTACACAGCAGGGTGAAGGCGCTCTCGCGGTGGCCCGTGACGTGGCCCGGCGCGCACACGTACAGCAGCTCATCGCCCATCTCCAGGCCGGTGCGTCCCTGCAGGATGGTGTGTGGGAACGAGGGCGGGTCTCCGCACGGCTTCTCTGAGGAGAAGGAACCACGGTCAGCAGTGGAAGGTGGGGGACAAACTTCAAGAACACCTCTCCCCTCCGGGGGTGCTGCCTGCGCCCTGGACGGGCCCAGAGGTTCCCTTTCGCTCGGGCAGGCCCAGGGCCTGGCACAGGGCCTGGCACAACGCGGCACTCAGAAAAGACTTGTTGAGTGAATAAATGTGCTTTTAAAACTCAACTTTGTATTTTAAAATTCCAGGCAACGTTACCCTTCAATGTATTCTTGAAAGGAGGACCCAGAGACATACATCCAGCGGCAAGCTCCTTTTTTTTTTTTGCCTTATTTACAGAAGTGAATAGGTACTCCCTGTCAAAAACTAAAATGTTGCCCTGGCCGGTTTTCTCAGTGGTTAGAGCGTTGGCCCGCAGACCAAAGAGTCCCGGGTTTGGTTCCCGTTAAGGGCATGTACCTCGGTTGCAGTTTGTCCCCGGCCCGGTTGGGGTCGTGTGTGTGGCAGCCACTCGATGTGTCTCTCTCACATCGATGTTTCTCTCTCTCTCTTTTTTCCTCTCTTCCTCCCACTCTTTCTGAAGATAAATGCAAAAATGTCCTTGGATGAGGATAAAAAAAACAATGAAAAACTAAAATGTGATAGACTACAAAGCACAGCAGAGGGTGCTTCTCCCCTCCTCCAATCTCAACCCTGACGGTAACACTGCCCAGTTGGTACATACAAGCAAATACAGATACAGACATATACAAGCACACATACCCACGCACGTGGATAGATAGACATAGACAGATATACTTGTGTGTGTGTGTGTGTGTGGTTTTTAACATAAATGGGGTTAGATCATATGTATTCCTGAGAACCTGCTTTAAAAAAATAAACAAAACTATTGTTTTGAGGAGTTTCAGGTTCACAGCAAAATTGAGTAGAAATTACAGCTAGTTCCTCTGTCCCTTCCCCTCCACAGGCACAGCCTCACCTATGATCAGCATCGACACCAGAGTGGTACATTTGTAACAACCGATGAACCTACACCGATACATTTTTATCACCCGTTTACATTTGGGTTCACTCTGTCGGGGAGCCTCACGCTTGGATCTGAAGATGGAGAAGAGCCCCCCCGGCCCTGCAACTTCTTCCTGTGTCTGCCCTGAAGCTGGCCCGGGAGTCAGTTTTGGGGGCTACAGCCCAGGTTTCCTTTTAACTCCCTGCCTTAGTTCTCCCGTGAGGTTTTCACTGGTGTGAATGCAAGAGGGGCTATGTGATAACCTGACAAGCTCAGGGGGCCCACATGGCAGGCCTTACACATTCAGTGACCAAAAGTAAACACACAGCATGGTCAGATCATAAATCCCTAACTGGGCAGGCTCTGGCGGGGAGTCCCGTCCCAGGACTACAGCTTCCTTAGCAAAGGTCAGTCTTTACAAGTGAGCCCTGTCCGTTGTTCTTATGTATTTAGGATAACAGACCTTTGAAAGGTCAAAGTGGTTTTCTTTTCTAGACCCCTCTAAGGCCCAACCAGAGGCATCAGACCGTGAGACCACCAGATCACAGAACCCCTCACTGTCACCTTGTTCCCTGCACGCCAACTCTATGTGCTATAAAGGTTAATTATTAACTACCCTGAACCCACCACTGTAAAAGAAGTACTGTATGTGTTTCTCCATTCTGCGTTTCATCCAGTTTGGGAGATTTCCCAAGCTTGCTTTCCCCTACCCTCTTAATCTACCACTGATGAATTTCATGTAGCCGCTTGACCTCTTCTCCTTTGACCCCACCGTATAACATAAGCTGCAAAACTGCTCTTGTCCGAAGCACTTTCTCAGTCCGTGGAGATCTTGCTTTCAGGCATGTCCTCAAAAATTTGGCTCAAATAAACTCTTATAAAACTTTTCTACGGGATGGACATTCTTTTGTCAGTACTAATGTATTGACTTATTTATTTATTTGTTTTTACTGGAAATGAGCCTCTTAGAAATGAATGTAGACTGGTTTATATTAAAACTTGTCAACTGCTTTTGAAAAAAATCTGTGGCTGGTCATGAAGCAGCCACGAAGGGGTCCACCTAAGGTTTCAGCCAGCAAGGGAGCCCAAGGGTGAGGAGGGGAGGCCCCAAATCTTCCTCCTTCCATATCAGGGGCAGCTGCCCGGCCGGCTCACGTGAGACCCTGGGGCAGAGACCCAAAGCACAGATCCAACACAGCCCCGTCACGTGCAATGACACTTTCACTGAAGTTCATTGAGCAAACAGGTTAAGGTTACAGAGTTGGGGCCTGAGTCAGCCACATCACCCCCAAGGTGGCCAGTGGGCGTTCTCAGGTAGTTATAGACAGAATCAATCCCATTTAAAATATAAAAAATATTGTAGTGGGTAAGCCTCAACTTTCCCCCCATTAAGTATGATGTCAGCTGTAGCGTTTTTTAAATTGTTTTGTTCACTGTTCTTTATCAAGTGGAAGAAGTCTCTTCTATTTCTAGTTGGCTGAGAGTTGTTATCGTAAGGAATGTTGGATTTTGTCAGATGTTTTTCCTGCACCTATCAGTGTGCTCAGGTACCTTCTCTTCCTTGGTTTCTGTGGTGGATGACCTTAACTGATTTCTGAATGTTGAACCAGCCTTGCCCATCCCACTTGGTTATGGTCTGGACATCTTTTTGGATATTGTTGGATTCAAACTGCTCTTATTTTGTTGAGGATTTTTGCATCTATGTTCATTTGTACTGGTCTGTAGTTTTCTTGTATTGTCTTTCCTTCAATTTGGTATTAGGGTAATGCTGGCTTCCTAGCAGGAGTTAGAAAGTATTTCCTCTGCTTCTAACTTCTGGAAGAGATGGTAGAGTATTGGTGTAATTTCTGCCTTAAATATTGGGTAGAAATCACCAGTGAACTCATTCTGTTTTGGAAGGTTATTAATTATTGATTCAGTTTCTTTCCTTACATGCTAGACCAGAAACTTGAAGTCATCCCCCTTCCAAATATTTTAGAGGCCTTTCCACATAAGAACTATAAATTACCTCAGTCTTTGAAAGGCTTCACTATATAGCACACATTATTTAATCATTACACTGACCTTGATGTTCATTCCAAGTTTTCACAGTTATAAATGATGCTACAACAGCTCAGAAGGACATTTTTGTACGTATCTTATTTCGTTAGGAAACACTTCTAGAAGTAGAATTGCTGCATCAAAGTGGTGTGGTGAGACCTTATTTTTGAAAAGGAAATAATTTTAAATTCAAATTTCCTCTTCTAATTTTTTAAGTTGGAAAGGAAAGCCTTTATTTCTTAAGCCGTCGAATTACCTTAGAAGCAAACTGCTTAAGGGAAGAGATGCTAAGAAAAGATGAAAATAGCAAACAGGACTTGTGCTGTGGGCCACCTTGACGGGCCTCGCAGCCTGTGGTTAGGGTGGCACTTTCTCAGAGAGCCATCGCTACGCATGTTCTTTAACTGGAGAGGTTTGGACTGAAAAGGGGTGTGGCCCTTTGGGAAGCCAGCACAGAATGTTGCATTTTAACCCAAACTGCCTTGACTGTAGCCCAGATCACCTATGTATTTCATCTATGTGGCAGCCATTTGAAAGTTGCCACAAATCCAGGGGCACCCCACTGACCAGAGAGGCATCATCCTTGGGTCCACTCGGTCTGAGCAGGGCATCCTGAGAAGGATGGAGCAAAGTCAATGAGCCTCAGTCAAATAAGGTCGAGCCAAATGCCATCTGGCGTCTCAGGGGCAAAAGGCTCTGTCTCTGTCTGCACCATCCTCAGCCAACTACACCTCATGCTGGACAGCCCAGTCTTTTCTCCTCATACCAGACCTAGTTTGAGGACACTGCAGGCTCTTCATCAGACACTCACTATCAAAGGACCAGCAGATACTTTCATCCTCATACAGCTCTATCTGGGGAACACAACACCAACTCTTTGGAAGGAAAATCCAGGAACAGGGTAACTGTTTTGAGAGTAAATGGGGAATTTCAGGCCAAATTCACATCCTACCAGACTCCTGGGACCTTCCCTCTCAGATGTCATTTCCAGAACGGCTCGGGCTAGATTCTGGCTCAGGAAAACCATAATAACGCTCCTGAGAGTCTGGGCACACATACCCTATGTTTCTGGATTTCCCACAAATGTTCAAGACAGGAAACACACTACTTCTTAGGTGGTGTGACCTCAGATGCTCCAAGACACCAATTCTATGCCCTACACAACCACACGTGCCAAACACACCACCCATGTCCAGGGGCAACTTGAATCAGTTCCTTTCACTAACCTTCCCATCTGTAACCTCAGGAGGGAGCTATGGAAAACAGCTGTCTATATATATATATACCTGAGCCTTATTCTCCTCTTTAGGGAAACTTACATTTGGGCCGTCTTCACTGTGATTCTCAATCATTCCACAGATAGTGATTGGGGTTTGGGGATTTCTCAAGAGCTGGGTTTCAGCAGTTTCAACAGCAAGAGCAATCTATTATTTCCCCGTCCAAGGAAAGAAATTTTATAAGAGCTCTTGTCTTTCAAACAACTAGAAGTAATGAACGATGAGCCATTTTCAATTTCAAAGAGGGAACTTCTGATAACCGGTTTCCATAGAGTTTAGAACTCATATACAAGCTGATGCTTTTAATCGGAGAGATTTTAAGACTTCAAGCATGAGTTCTGAGGTTCTAAAGAAGAGCCTGCAACCCCCCAATATTATTTCACTACCAAGGATGTCGAAGTTCCGTCACAAATGCTTGACCTCTCCTCCTTCCTTCCGGTGTTACTAAGCTATGTGAAGAAGCTGATTTTTGTGCCCACCTGCCCAGCTCCACCTTACTCCACCCAGGACACAACCAGCACTGTCCTCCCCATTCCAACCAACTTTATCGTTTGTCCTCATGGTCTCTGTCACTGCTTCTCAAACATGACTGTGCATCAGAATCTCCTGAAGGACGTGTAACATAGACTCTGCTGTGTTTTTTAGTTTCTGGGTCAGTAGGTCAAGGTTAGGGCCCAAGAATCTGCATTAGTAATAAGT